CGCACGTTGGATTCAGAGTGTTATTTGGTGTTTTCTTTGCTTAATATATTATTGTATTGTTTTCTCTTTAACAGCCTCAAGTACTACAGCCTTCCAGCAGCCTTCCCAGTTCCACAGACCTCGCCCAGGGAAAACTAATAAAAATGCCACATATCGAGGCCCACAGTGAATATCCTAAACATGGTCTGCATGAAAATAGCAATCATCAGAATCAAAACGCTGCAGATGTGTCTCTCACAAATAGCCTGAATGATGTAAACTCTTTAATGAGCATACAGTTAAACATAAAAGATGAGAATGCATCATATTTGGAAAATTTGAAAAATCAAAATACTGAAGACCCTGGAGAGGTGGCTATTAATAAAGAAGGTACATTACCATCTCGTTCCTGTTTTCAGACCTCTACACGAGCTGATGCTAGAGGGGTGCAGACTGAATTAGCTGTGAAAGGTCAACCTTCATTCACAAATCAGGCTTCTCGGCCAAAGACTTTAAGAATTGCAAAGCCCCCAAATGCTTTAGTGCCTCCTACAATGGCCGTTCTCGCACGATCTGCAAATCATTCCGCTGCTTCCAAGGAACGTGAGCTTCTACCATTAAGTAGTTCGACTCGGCTACAGCCAACATCTGGTCAGGATAACCTAAGGGGTAAACAGAGTCAGAAAGTGTCTAAACTTCGTCCACCAAGTATGTCCTTTGCTAAATATAAGCAAGTGAGCAGTCAAAAACCCACACCAGTATCTCCAGAGTCTCAAAACACCTGTTTGAAGACTAACATCCCAAAGCCACCATTACAGAGAAAGGAAAATGTGCAGACACAGAATACCAGTTTGCATTCTGGGGATAGTTTGCCCTCTAATCGGCATTCCCGCCTCCCTAAACCAAAGACACACTGAGAACGTACCTACATCTCATTGAATGATGCCATACATTAAACTACTTCCTATGTTTTGACTTCCTTTGAGGCTGCTTTATCTACAGCCTGCAAATCCTGAGTGAATTATTAAAATAGCATCTTTCTTTAGTCTTTGCATACTCCATCCTGTGATGTTCTGAGGCTCATGTTATGAGCTGTGCAGCTTCTCTTGAGAGTGTTTTATTATATCGTAGGTCTGTATTAAAGATTGTGTTGCCTGGTGATCTTGGTAATTAAGCAAATACTGAAGTCTGTGGTGACCACGAATGCTGCACTATGTATTTCAGGATTGCAGAAATCATTTCTTACCTCTGTTTATTTGAGTTATTAGACAATGAAATTACAATTCGGTTTAACTTCTTGGTTCTGAGTACTCGTTAGGTTAGAGTGGTGGAAAACTAGACTTACTAGCAGATGTTTTATTGGCCATAATTCTGACTCTGTATTCCAGAGGCCTATGCAAAAATCCTTGTATTTATCATTATCTCAAGACTGACATATTTAATGTTATTTAATCTGATGGGTTGGGTGGGTTGTGTTGTTTTGTTTTGCTGTAATCTGAAGTTGCTCTGTTCTTTCTTTATCCCATTTTCACTGTTCACAGACAATAAGCAGATTTCACAGGGTGAAACGAATCTTCTCTCTTAAGCATCATCATTTGTTAAAAGATTGTGGTATGTTTTTATTGTGTTGAATAGACACATTACCGGGTAGAGTCTTGAAATGCAGTGCTAAGGATACTTGTGCAAAACCTTCTAATATAGGCTCTTACGAATTGGTAAGTAGGGAGCCTCTGGGAATAAGGGGTCCATAACACCTATGTCAAGGTTGCACAACATGCATTTTAATTAATATTTTTAAACTTTTATTGTACTACTTGTATTTATTGATTTATGTTTAATATTGAAGGACTCTGAAGTACCTGGCTTGAAATTTTGCACAAACTTTGCCATATATGTAAGGATTTGAAACTGTTTTACGGAATAAAACTTGTATAACAAAAGCAACTATTAAAAAACAGAAAAAAAAAAAAATTAACCCCACTACTTGCTTTAAGCAATCCTATTATGTCCTAATCCAGAGCTGGTACTCTTAAGAGTTTTTCAGAGATGTGTATTTTGGTTTTGGTTTTTTTGTAAATTTTTTTTCTTTTTGTAATTTCTACAGAAGTGCATGATAACTGGGAAGGAGCTTTTTGGGGAAATAAAGAAAAAAAAACATTTTTCTGCTCTCTAGGAGAAGTATTTTTTCTGAAAGTGGTCTTGAAATATATACCCATCATAGTGTAATTATGGCCTGTGACACGTGCTGTGAGTTAAATATATGCATATCCAGTGAAGCTTTCCAGAAACTTACTGTTATGTCGTATCTCTAATTCTTCCCTACTTTCCCATCACTGTCTTTTGGATGTTACAGATTGGGGTTTTTTTCCTGTTCTTTATTTGGTTTTAATATCAGCAGCAAAAGGCTGTTACAATAACTTGCTCGAAATCTGTTCCTGAACAGCATATAATGCCAGTAAAATGAAACATAGTAATAGTTTGTTCTAGGCTTTGGCTGTAGGATATTGACATACTACCGTATTTTCTTTGAGAGAATTAAAGTAAATAGGTACAGACACTTCATAAGTAAGTTCAGTAATCAACTTCTGTAACATAAGCCCTTTAACTAGGGATATCCTGATGGATACCTTAGTTGGATGGGAGAAGGAAAAAAATATAATAATTTCAGCTGAATTTCTCAGTACATAATTAACATCCAAGAAAGTTTTTGGATTTGTTGCACTGTAAATTCTTTTAACTGACAATGAAGTAGAAGAATGAAAAGCTTGGGGGGGGGGAATGGGGGGGGTGTCTATTTCAGAACTGCTTATATCGATCTGAAATAAGAGACCTGCAGGACTTCCTGTTAACTGGGGCGAAGACAATGTAAGCAAGAAGTAACAAGGATAACATTAATTGTTACAGTCGATATAGGATCAAAATAACTGCGATTCAAGATTGCTGTAACAATTATTCTCCACGAAAAATTCTTTCCTTGAAAAGCATTGAATTAGATGGCCTTCAGTGTAAAGCATTTACTTTTGATAAGAGAATAAAACTGACTTTTTATATTCCCCAAAACTAGCTCCTGGCAGCTAACTGTTTCTCAGGAGTTTCAAAACTGCTGAGGGAATGATCAGATTCCTGGTTCGTTTTCCGGTCCATATAGACTTCTATGGAAGGTGTTTTTTTAAGTTTACTTTCCTTGAAGAGAAGCTGATTTTATTTTTAGTTGTATATGATTTTGTGTAAAAAGATGATTTTCACTTAATGTTATTGACAGAGATATTTCACCATGAGTTCTTTTGCTTCTTACTCTGGAGGTATCACCAGCCTGACTTAGTCATGTTAAAATTTTTATGTTTACATTTCAAAGTATAGATAGATATCTGCACCTTTACTGAAAATTAAGGAATGAAGCAGAGATGATCAGGGTTTTCATAAAAAAGAAGATAGTTCTTAATTTATTTTTTTCCCAGAAGAACAAAAATATAGTTATTCTGTGGGTTTTTTTCTGTATTAAAGGAGTATAAGTAGATTGCATTCTTTGTTACAGCATTTCCCCACTTTGTTCTGCCAGATTAGTGAGACATTGAGCTGGAGACAGCAGGATTTAATCACGGATGAGACAGATGCTAGCCTGAATTGTATTTATATTCAGCTGCTAGCCTCTCATCCCTCTAAAGCCAACTACGTATTTTGGCTCTTCAGACTTTACCAGGGAAGGCTCTGTTGCATGTATAGTAAGTCCAGAGTATGAGCAAAGCCTGTCAGTAGATGGGCAACTGGAAGAGAAGTCGTGAAGTTTGAAGCTTCACTTCAGTGAAGGATGGGGGTTGAGGGGAGACAGATAAGAGGGCGCTGTGTAGAGCTTGTCAAATGGGATTAAGTAAGTATTTTCAGGTGATGTATCTACCTTATGGAAAGTGCAGATGTATCATCAGTACTGGTGCAGATTATCCTAAATGCGTAAATTAAAGGATGTGATACCCTCAGGGTATTTTTAGGTTTCTAAATCTGGTTTATTGCCATTTCTTTGTTTTTTGATTTCTCATTCTTTTGTGCAATATTCACAAAAGTATTAAACTACTGTTCAGTATGTGTGTACAGAGGCAATTACGCATTTTAACAAGTGAATAAACACAAAAGAAAAAACAGAATTGCACTTTAAATGAGCTTTATTGCTTGGAGTTGTGCCTAAAATAATCTAGATGCCTCCCGCTGTGTGTGGCTTTTGTTTGAAACCAATTTCCCTGCTAGTGTTGCTGTTTCCAAGGTATCTTCACATCACTTTCACAGAATCGATATGCACTCTAGCATGTTTAAAAATATTCATATAGTGTACTGAGTTTTTGTTGTGCAATGACTTTTAATTTTACTGTGGAATTTTAACACTGATGATGCAGCCAGATGATTACCTTCCCCTTCCCTTAAGCTAGCACTTCCTACTGCCAATCAAGGCCAATGGCAAATCTTCCCTAGGACTAGCATAGCCCTTAAAGAATAATGTTCCCAGCATATGTTTTTGTTTGAGAAAAGAAGTGCAATATTATCTCTTAGACTTTCTCAAAATAATCACAAAGGCCCTGAAAATCCAAAACACACTGAATTTTTCATATAGTTCCAAAAAGAGTGGGTTCCTCGACTTTACATCTCATAGCAGTGAGACTAGACATACCAGCTAGACTGCATCATAGGTCAGTAAAGTTCATCTCATCCTTGATCTAAATGCTGATTTGTTGTAACGATGCTAGAAAACCGAATACCATGTGCGTGGTTTACTTTGTTTGCATGTCACAACCATATGCACATTCTAAAATGTCATACTTGGGTAGGTTGCATGTTGGGGGGGAAGTATTTCTGGTTTTGCACAGTACATAATCCTCTTAATATTGACATTTTCTTGCCATACAAATGGAAATCCATTCTTGAATTGGGTTTCTGTAGCTATTCCTTATCTCTTTATAGTGACTTTTTCTGAGCAGAGTGGATTTGATACATGATCCTGGTGGTAGGTCTCAGTATAGTCATCTTACAACTATGCTATCAAGGAAATTCAGTCACTGTTGTGGTAAAGCTGCTCACTGCCTACTTAATTGTAAAAGCACCACAATAAAACCAATATAATTCCAGTGTCAGTGAAATTTTAAATTCAATACTAACTAAAACAAGAGGTACCCTTACTATCTGCTTTGTTGTTTTTGGTTTTTGACCCAGGCCAGAGTAAATACTGTATATTGGAATTTGCTTGTAAAGTTGATTAAAAAACCTGTATGTAAAAATTATTTCCTCCATGTTGCTCTAGTGAATAAAAATAAGTCATAATTCTAATAAGTGTCCGTTTCTCCTGACTGTTCACTTGTATGTTTTTTAAGTCATTGACTGTGCAGAATTATAGGATTGTAGACAGGAAATTTTGGGAGAGGGGGAGATTATGCTTGTACTATGAGGCTTTTTATTAAAGAAAAAAGAAAAGGAAAAAAAAAATCATAGAAAAGCTAAACATTTTAATGTATTGTTTCTGGATGAACAAGGACTGATGTGGCTAGTTTTTAAAGGTATGTTATTTCACCTATAGTGTGCAGTTGAGAAGAGTATTTCATAGAGTTTTCTTACGTAATCACTAGTTAAAATTATTATCATAAGAGAATACTTTGAGAAAGTTATTTCCCCACAGGAGTCCAAATCAATACAATGTATGCATACATGTAAACATTCATAAAAAGCTCCTAATTGCATACCAGTATACTCCCCATGGCTTATTATTCTTGAGAGAAAAGGAAATCTGCTCCACTAATTTCATCTGACCTGTTTCAGTAAATGGTAGTTCAAGGTTGAAATTTCAATCAAAATTGGGGGATTGGTAAAAGGAGAATCTTGTAGTTTGAAGTAAGAACATTTAAAAAATGCTGCAGACAGACACTTGTAATCCTTAACCTAAGATCTCATTTTGAGC